TTTATCCATCACCCCTCGAAAATGTACGAAATTAAACGTATTAGGGGATAGCAGTTAGACACAGTTCATACGGCAATAAAACAATAAAATTTAATTATAAATATATGTATAATGTTACGAACTAAGAGCTACTTAGGATAAAAGAATGTAGTTTCAGGTTACAATATGAAGTCATTCTAGAAAGAAAAGAAAGTTAACTTAGATTTATTTCGATTTTTTTGTGGTTACGAGGTCGGTCGAATTGACCGATCCCGTTTTGAGATAGGGTAAAGTAAATAACATAAAAACTATAAGAATTTAGTGAAGAAAAAAACGTCTGAAATGCATTTAGGATGTTTTAGGGATTACACAAAGGAAATTTGAGATAACGAAAAGTATTTTTAATTTTAACATGAAAATTACATTGCACACGGACTATTCAAAACAAATACTCAATATATTCATGGACAAAACTTTATTTTATTTTATTAGAAATACTTTACTAAGAAATATGACGTTTTTTATGTGAAAGACTTGTGATATTAACTGAAAGACTGTCAAAATTCGTGAAGATATACCCAATATTTATAGAGAGTTATAAGTATTAAATTTATGTCAACTTTAAACGAGTACAGGAGGTCACGTGACTCGGTCAAATTGACCGACCCCGTGTCGAAAGATTTAAGGTTCAATAATGTATAAAGACAGAAAAGTGAAGAACATTAACTTTACTAAAGAAATGCTTAAAGAGGAATTACTTAAAGTTATATTAAAATAATTGTTAGTACAGTTATACAGATTATGACTAAGAGGATTTCTCGTGTTAATTTAGATGATAACTAATGTTGTGTCTATGTTGCTGAAAATAATAGAAGGCCTTATTAATGAACACCTAGATCTTGAAAAAGAAAAATTCAATGATTTAGAGTTAGTGTAATTTCGAGATAACCTTGAGAGTTTCGATATAGATGAAATGCTCAACAGTGTATGAATAAATAAGTCATTGGATTTGTATTCCATTGTCTCTGTGTGAGTTCTTTATTCCACACATATACCTCCTCTAGTTGATAGCTTGTGTACTCCGCTTGTGACAGCATGACCCAAAATCCAAATAAATTTCTTTGTAACGAGTGTAAAGTCGAACCCAACAATTAAGTCAACAGGCTGACCACACACCCGTTACATTACGATATATTCCTTTAGAGCATTGGTACTCAAAATAATGTTCCACCTTTTTGCACGCACATTTAGAATCCTAAGAAATAAATCCACGAAGTATTATTTCCCTTTTTCAAAATGTACTGTTACGTCTCCGTTCGTTAGTTAATTTTCCGTAAAAATTCTTTCCGAAGAAACTTTACCGATAGAAGTCCTTTCTTAAATAAAACTGGTTTATTCTTTCTGAATACAATTTTGCAATACACTTAATTTCAACAGTCGCTCTATAACAAACGCTATAATTCTCAATGAACGTCTCACGTGCTCGTGCTCAACAATACTCAGTTCAATTACACACATTGTTGCCGTCACTTTGTGACCGTCTTATATATACAAGACTACCCCAATCTAGTAGTCTCCCGACAATTCACGAAGGTTCAAGAAGGATGTGGCGTGATACTAGTCACGTGACCTCGCTGACGCAACAGTACTTTCAATTGCATTGTTTCTCCTTAGAATTATTGGGTAGGTTTCGCAGAATAACTGAAAGCCTGAGTAAAAATGTAACACACGCAAAAATCTGAAATCTCCGAACTCAACAGAGTTCAAAGAAAGGAAAGAGACTAGACACAAGTTAAAAACAACAATCACAGTTTAAAAGCATGCTTTTATAAATAACTTTATGCTACTACCATAAGAGTTCGATAAGTCTGTTTTTCGTAGACTTCCCTAGACTTTCTTTTTCAAAATAGAGATAACTAGCTAACACACAAGAAAGACATAGAGATTATAACACACAAGAAAGACTCACTCTGTGAGATTCCTAACTGTACATGCCAGATTTTGCAATTATTGGTCCAAAGATTCGCCAAATATAAACAGACACACACAAAGATTTTGTCAAATAATGGTTTCAAATATTCTCAGTATTCCAGCCATCAGAAATTACACCAGTGTGAGCTCTATTCAAAGAAAGTTTCTGTACTTGTACAGAACAACGACGTTTTGTTCAGAACAAATGTAATTTTTGGTAAAATATTTTTGTCTCTACAGCTTGAGAGTCTCTTCTTCAATTTTATCAGTAGAAACACCTGTAAAACTTTTTAGCACTTCCGACTGAGTTCTCTCTTCCATGATAAAGTTTCCATCAAAATCTCCACAATATTTGACTAAATTTGTGTGTGTGCGTGTGCGCGCGCGCGCAGTTTACTTAAGGTAGAAATCTTTAAGTCAAATAGTTTATTAATTCATAGCACAAATAAGTTTGCATGTTAATTAATAGTTTGTTTATTCAACATTTCCGTTAATCATTTAAATTATATAGATGGCGTTCTAGTTGTTGCAATGGCGGAGGAGACAGGTAAATTTAAATGTTCAGCCGAACAAACACCTGTTTCAACTTTTAAGTCGTCAAGTACCAGTGGTAAGCCCAACTATAACCTTACAAGTACAAATTAATAAAGGAAACTGATGAATTAACCCAAAATTCTGTGTCTTTGCTTCCTCTTTTGATTTCTTAAAAATGTATTGTGATCAGAATATTACAAAAATAGACAAAATCAAAAGCATATCTAGGACCTACCAATGTACCATTGATTTAATGCTTTTAGTTTTACAGTTTACTTTACTTGTATTTAGTTACAAGATACTTAGAATTTAGATAGGCCTACAACTTAGTTCAATTTCAATCATCTGTAAGTTGTACTGTAGCTCATTAATAAATAACCGTGTCAATTAAATTTATAAAACCTTTTGAAAACTTTAGTCTATAAGTATAAAAACATTCTTTGGTACATCAACCATAATGTTAATTGTTATTTTCGTGACGTTGTAAGTCTTAATAATCCTTATTTTGGATGTGATCCGAAATTGTGAAAGACTGAAGCAAAATAATATTAAAAGAACTAGCTGTAAACAGGTGTTAAAAGTTATACATATTTCAACTTTTCTACATGCATTAGATTATTAATTATATAGTATTATTGTATGTATAAGTATTTGTTTGTCAAGTTTCCCCAGTTTCTTTTCCTCCTCTTCATGATCATGTCTTGTCCAGTCATCTAGTGGAGTCAGTTCTCGATCTTCTTCACAAGGGTACTGTAGAATGTTGCCTGTTCGTCGGGGTTTTTACTCCCATTTGTTTGTTGTTCTCAAAAAAAGATGGAAGATTGGAGACCTCTTATCGGTCTATCCTGGTTAAATGCCTTTCTGGACACACCATGGATTCATCCTACCTCTTTCTTCAGTGGATTCTTTCCTCGAGTCTTTGGATGACCAAATTTGATGTGATAGATGCTTATTTTCATATCCTCATTGCCCAGGACTCGTGTCGTTATCTTCAGTTCATCATTTCTGTGTACTACCTTTTGGTCTTGCCTCGGCTCCTTATGTGCTCTATCAGATAGTCCGTGCCTTTGCTTGCCATCTTCATTCATTGGGTCTTTGGACTCATCATTACATGGATGACTGGCTCCTGATCACCTCTTCCTGAGCCCAATCTGTCAATCATACCTGCTTCCTTCTTTCGGAGTCTTCTCGGGTAGGGTTTCTCCTTAGGATGGAGAAGTCCTTTCTCAGTCCCACTCAATACCTTATTCATTTGGGGGTCCTCTCCAATTCCCATTTTGGTTGAGCTCCCTATTATACACATATTATGGCACTATGTCTATTTTGCAAGGTGCTTCCACTGGATGTTTTCTGTCCAGATGGACCACACTTGACATAATCCAATGTATACCAAGGGGTATCCCCCGGATGTTTTTACCTGGATGGACCTCAGCTATCTTGATATCAATCTATGATGCTTCCCCTGGATGTTTTTGCCCTGACTAACTGCATTTGACATAATCCAATATATACCAAGGGGCTTTCCCTGGATGGACCTCACTTGGCTATCTTGCTCTAAATCCAAGGTGCTTCACTTGGATGTTTTTGCCTGGGCAGATTGCACTTGTTGATTTTACAAACTTCTGCAAGGTGCTTTCATGTTGTTTTTGTTCTTGGACCACACTTGGAATAATACGTTGTATCCCAAGGAGCTTCCTCTGGTTGTTTTCTGCTCGAGCAAACTGCACTTGACCTATTCATATATGGTCCTCTAGCTGTAGTCACATATTCTCTTCTTTACTGGGTGAAGAGCAAAACTTTTCCACAAGTAGTGCTATACGCCTCAGGTGTGCCTCTTATTTCAATAGTTGCATACCTGCTTTTTTCTTCATAGTGGTTGCTCTCCACTTGTCTACTTGTTGTTTGTGCTTTCACCGGTCTTCCTCTTTTCCAATATGGGATTCTAGCTATGGGGGAGCGGAGGTAGTACTGTTTCAGAAGTTAACATTTTCTAACACTGTATTTCCAATAAGTACTTACCTCCTTTCACCCACTTCTCACTCTTCCTCCCCACTCGGTGTTTTCTATTTTGTATATGCCAATTCTCAAAAGTCGGGATTGTGCTACAATGGTAGAGGTTGCTACCTGCAGTAGTATAGAGGGTGCAAAGGGATTGGTGGAGGGTGGTCGCATGATCAACACATGTTGCTGCATTGATGCAAAAAATATAGGGGTATAAAAGACTGGTGCACTGTTCATAAGATTTACCAATGCCTAGAGGGCAAATGTAGGTCGAGATAGCTATGGATGAGAGGAGGTTAAGTACCTGTTGAAAATACATTTTCAGTGTTGGAAAATGATAACATTCGTCCTGTGCTGCTTTGATTTCAAAAGTATATATCATTCTTTCTCCTTCTCCATTTGTTTTTGCTGAATCTTAGGCCTTCTGGTTCTTTTCTTCCCAATGAAGACCAGGTAACCATAGTTTGTTCTTTGCCACTTTGATTGGATAGGTATGTGACATTATTTCTCTTTATTCATTTGTTTTTGCTGACTCTCAGGCTACCTTGCTGCATGAGCCTCTCTTTTCTTCCCCATTCCCTGATATCTTACTATAATGGATGTAGTGTGTGTGTTATATATATGCCTCTAAACATGTATGTGACCAAAATAATAAATACAATGTGATGCCATCTATTGAATGGTACCACAAACAAAAATCCATAAAAAATAATTCACACTTTGGGTATTCAAGATTTAGATAATTAGAAAAATAACTATGGTATGTACACACAACAACCATTTGT